AATCTTATATGACGACCACAAAAACAAGCAGAGCCATACTGAAAAGGTGAAATATTGGAGGTAAATTAAGAAAATTTGGAGTTTCAATAAGAGTTGATTTACTGCACCCTATCCGCCACCAACTCCAACGCACAAACACAAATGTCAGTTTAAAGTTACAAAAGGCGAAAGTTCATCTAAAATATTGAATTTTAATTTTATATGGGAAGGTTCATCTGCTAAAAAACTTCCTTTATTTAAAAAAAAAACCCTGTCTAGAAGATATACTCGTCTTGCATTTTACTCGGATTCTTTTTTTTAAAACAAGTTCTTGTTCACAATTTCTCAAAGGTTGTTTTTCCCTTATCCTGAAAGTATATCTTGTCAATGTTATTTCATGTAGTGTGTTTTGAACTTTGAAAACCGGTTATTCATATGTAAGAAAAAAAATATTTTAGTCTTTGTACTCTTTTGTCATAGGAAATGTACTATACTATGCATTCCTATTAAATGAAAAAAGTCCTTCTCTAAGAGACGAGCAACTTTTTTTAGTAAGAGTGTAATTATAGGAAATATATTCCAATACCTTCATACATGTACATGCATACTTACTATTACATGCAGTTTTGTCGTTTGTTAAATCCCACATAACAGTATACAAACGATGCATTGATCGCAATGCACTTGTCAGTGTGACGTCATCTCGCAACAATGACGCAGTTTGTACACAGTGAGAGGCTGATCAAGTCACTTTTTGTACCATGAAAAATGTGTTTTGTTCTCAAATAAAATATTATTTGCAGTAAAACAAAATGCCATTAACTTGGATGCGATATTTATTTTAGTATTTTATTTGTAAACTGTACGTGCAATCTCCAGACAAGCGATACTGTCGTGTGTCTTTATGCAGATTCAATGAAAAAGTAATGGATGGGCCCTAATAAATCGATTTATTGCAAGGGCATACGGTCAATGTATCTTTTAAAAAATTTACACATAAACTTAAGAAGTATTAAGATATTTGAAAAGTGCTGCAAACCTTTTGAAATCTTGCAAATAAATTAATTATAGCTATATTTAATGTAGTTGACAAGCAAATTATTCAACCTGCCGTCCAACAAATTAAATTTTACCAATTAAAAAAAGGGAATCTATATAGATTCGCAGCACATTTCACAAACTACATATAGTGTTGAAAAGGATTAATATGTTGACGGTGCGACCGTTAGGGCGTTTATTTTGTCAGAATTTAAATCGGGCTCGTACGTCAAACTGCACGTGACATTTGATGCGTCTAGACCCTGACGTCACATGACGTCGTATGTAAGTTGCATTTCCCCCAAAGAACCCTGAACACTGCTGAAAATAAATGAAGAACGTTTTGTTTGCTATTGATCTTCAATACTTATCCATTAGATCAGGGTATAAATACTTTTTAGTACTTTTGCAACTTTTCTCACGAGAACGTAGCTTTAACGTAGCTTAAACAAGTGATGCATTGTGGGTCGAAATTACGGCATCAAAAAATTCTATCGAATGAATGTGCAGTAGTTCGAATTTTCTCTTCGCACAGGTGTTGCTTTAAGAGTTCGCAGTGACGAGCGTCGCTTCGAGACGCTCGCTGCGCTCGCTATAAAATAAACTAAGATTTTTGACTTGGTTATGCCCTTGCAATATTGAAATTTATAGATGAACTCTAAACTGCAAGTATAATTGCCAAAGTCATGTGATGTAGACATCACATGAAAAGTCTAAATAAAAAATCTAAATGTCCCCAACATGTAGATTTTAACCACATTACACTTTTTTGATATCAGTGAATTCCTAAAAAGAATCGTTCATCCTAATAAAGTATGTGTTTTTTATCTTTAAAAAATCGCCGATATTTCCATTTGTAACCTTAACTGTGCTGTGTACCATCAGCACAACATACAGTTTATATCTATTTAAGCATCACTGCCTTTTTATAAATAATTCACACCTAAAAGATCTTTTAACTACCCCCTTAGGAAATTACGTTCATGGAACATTTTCTTCTTCATCACCAAGGTATGATTCTAAAAGGTCTTTATGATTAATAGTCATCTTTAATTGCTAACATTCATTCATTCTTTATTTCCTTCATTTGGAGATTTGAAGTACAACACATCAATTACAACATATAAAGATCAATCAGAGTTTATAAAAAAGAATTTATATTTACAATTTGCCCGTATACTCTGTACGAAAAATAGTAAAGAACATCCTAATGTTTACGTTTCATACACATTGTCATTATAACCCTTACAAAAAATACTATGATAAACTATAGTTAACTATAGTTTACTATAGTTAACTATAGTACCAAAGTTAAAACTTTGGAACTTTGATTTACTATTGTGAAAACTTTGGAACTTTGATTTACTATAGTAAAAACTTTGGAACTTTGATTTACTACAGTAAAAACTTTGGAACTTTGATTTACTATGGTTAAAACTTTGGAACTTTGATTTACTATGGTAATAACTTTGGAACTTTGATTTACTCTGGAGAAAATTTGGAAATTTGATTTACTATACTAATAACTTTGGAACTTTGATTTACTATGGTGAAAACTTTGGAACTTTGATTTACTCTGGTGGAAACTTTGGAACTTTGATTTACTATGGTAATAACTTTGGAACTTTGATTTACTCTGGTGAAAACTTTGGAACTTTGATTTACTATGGTAATAACTTTGGAACTTTGATTTACTATAGTAAAAACTTTGGAACTTTGATTTACTATGGTAAAAACTTTGGAACTTTGATTTACTCTGGTGAAAACTTTGAAACTTTGATTTACTATGGTAATAACTTTGGAACTTTGATTTACTCTGGTGAAAACTTTGGAACTTTGATTTACTATGGTCATAACTTTGGAACTTTAATTTACTATGGTGAAAACTTTGGAACTTTGATTAAGTACCATAAGACCTGTGGAACTTTGGTTTTGATCCTCATTTTGTACATTTTATGAAATGTCAGGAATAAGATTTATTACAGCATCAATGAACGATTTAAAAACCCGAATTGTCCCCTAAAAGAAAAAAGTACAAGAAATGAATTTTAATGAATAAATTGTCCTTGCACCGATAAATAAGCAATATTTATTATTATTTATGGAGAAAAAATAATATAAGTTAAAACAAATCCTTCATTTTGAATCAAAATATTTGCTTTTTAAATATCCGTATACAGGTTTTTTTTTTTCTACCGTTCATTATAAAAATGCATTTAAATAAATTACTTTGCATATTTAAATTGAGATGAACAACAAAAATCAGCCCAAAACACAAAATCATCACTCTTAAAACAGATTAATAATTAAAAAAATTATTAAAAACATACAAAAACTTGATTACTTTGATTTTAGCTTTGGAACTTTGATTTATTATAGGAAAAACTTTGGAACTTTGAATAACTATGGTATAAAGTTTGGAACTTTGATTTACTATGGTGAAAACTTTGGAACTTTGATTTACTATGGTCAAAACTTTTGAACTTTGATTTACTATAGTAATAACTTTGGAACTTTGATTTACTATGGTGAAAACTTTGGAACTTTGATTTACTATAGTTTACTATAGTTTACTATAGTAGACTATAGTAGACTAGGTGTCATGGAGGATTGAGCATCCCCTGCCGACCGGTCATTCCCGCCGTGTGCTCCTTGTCATGATCAGGAAATAACGGAAAACATCCGTCGTCAATTAAGTGTATAAATAATGTACTAACAATTGGTATGAGAAACGTCAGTCAGCGGTTGACTCAATGATAAATTATATTTGCTGACAAGGCCATTGTATAAACCATAGAACTTACGAAATGATGACTTTAAACGAGACTGCTGATTTTCTTGTTTCATAAACTTGCTTGTCTATAATTTACCTCGTTTCAGAAATTGTTCAAACATAGAGCATGCTCTTGCGTACCGAATCAACTGAGATATACTCCGTATGCAGGTGATGAAGGTATATTGCTGCATAAGTAAGGGAAGCTGACGATAGAAAAAATAAAAACAATTAATGAAAAACATTTTAACATGAACTTTTGTTTGTCTAAGACTTTGTCATGGGTACCCATGACAACAAATAAGTAAAACCCGTACTCATTTTAACTGAGAAAATCTATGTAAACATTATTGTATTCGTCTGATAATTCAAACATCAATTCAAATCTTCCATTAGATGTTATAGAACACGATGCCACGGCATGTGGAAACTGTTTGTAAAGGGATTCGAGCAGATTATTCACTGGAATGTATATCAATACTTTATAATATATACTTAGTTACATGTTTATTTGAAAATTTTTAAGAAAACTATTTAAGAAAGAATCCGGACGGCTATGAAATGCGTCCGGTTTGTTGAAAAGAAAATATGAGAGAATTTATTGAACAAAATTTTATTAAATTCTAAATTCATGACAGTCATATCTTAGGGTCTTGACTGTTATTTTTAATTTCTGGTATACAGGATATTGTTTTAAATAATAATCATACAAACTCTACCTTTTGAAAATCAATGACCAAAAAGAAAAATAGATTTGTGCTAATTTCTTATCAGAAAAAAAAACGTCAGCAAATAAAAGCTTTCAATACTTTGATAATACTTAGTCGGAACTTTTGTTTCTCCTACTTAATCCCATCGTTTTATAATGCATATTGTATGAAGTGTTTCCTATCAAAGAAAACACCATAAATCACTTCTAATTTCAAAAAAATGCTTATAAACTTTGGTAACTAAGGCTAAATTAAATGAACTTTTTTGTATTCATGCATGTTTTACTTACCGGTACTTCTATGAGGTACAAAGGTAAACTTTTTAATTACCCTTTTATAAAAACTTTACAGAAAATTGAATCATACTTAGAGGGATAAAATGAAAATTGTTGCATGGAAAATTTCAGTTTCAAGCTATATTGTAAGACTTTTTAAAATCAAATTACAAATTAAAGAGTTAATCTTCCTGGCTGAGGATCTGATATCCTTAACTTACCCCCGAATCTAAGGAAACACCTATATTTTTTAAAGTGGAAAAAATGTTAAGTTTTTATACATATTTTATAATTATCTATTTCTGTTCCTAAACTAACTGCAGGATTTTGAAGTGAACATTTCATCTTACTAAATACCCGTTTGTTAAAATTACCGTTGAAAGAATATCATCTCTCTGCTTTTTAAAAATATTGTTATAAAAATTTATTAGTCATCGCTTTTGCCGTCCATTCTTTGCGTCCAATTTTAGGATGATCCCATGGATCATATCTTTTCTCCTGCACTTCATTCGATTCCCTTAAATGTGCGTTTTCAGCTAGCATGACGGTTTCTTTCAATTTTATAAATTTTGGAGATATTCCAAACTGATGTGGGGTTAAAGATATCTCACCAGGTTGAAAGTCGCCAAGCTCGTAATTAAATATAGGAGGGGTTTCCTGTAGGTCATCAGGCACTTTAAAGTTTTGATTCTTGAAAAATATTATGCCTGGTTTCGCACCCAAATTATTTTTAATTCCTTCGTTCATGTTTTCCAAGGTTTCAAGTTTTCTTTTGATTTCATTTTCTGTCTTTTCAACAGATTTAATGGCCTCCTCTTTCTCTTCTTGTAAAATCTGTAAAGAATTCTCTTTCATTCTTATGATCTGATCAATTATTGATTTTGTGTGATTTTGTAATTGTTTTTTCACTTCCTCAGTTCTGCTTAATATTTCTGCTTTCTTGGTTTTCTCCTGAATTAGCATATTTTCAAATTTTGGTAAAAGTATCCGCTCTATTTTATCCCTTTCTTCTCCGAGTGCAGTTTTTATTTCCTTGTGCACTTTAGCCAGATCATCCATTTTATGCCCATTATGGGATTCCATAAGACATTTTGCACACACTGGCTCCTTACAGGGAGAACAGTACCACTCTAGCTTGTTAAGGTTATGTTTTTCACAGTAAAGTAGGCCAAGGGTACCCTCCTTATTTTTGTGTAAATGTATCAGTTCGTGATTTTTTGTTAATTTTCTTGACTCATGCTCTGTTTTGCATATTTCACAAAGATGACCAACGCACGTTTTGCACAGGAATTGCGCGGGGTTTTCCTCACAATTCTCGCATTCAATAAAATGCTGAGCAAACGATCTAGCGGTAGCCATTTAAGAGGTTGTTCTGCAAAAAATGTGAATGCTTTTTTAGAATCAATATAGAGATTTTATCTTACAACCTAATTTTCTTGGTGGTGTCTTACAAAATTTGAAAAATATAAGAAAAATTTAAAGGAGAAATTCTAAATATGATAATTTAACATAAATATAAATCTTCATAAACTGTAATCCGCATTTACTTTTCTTGTCATATATTGAGTCAGAAATTATACAGTACATACACTATCCGGTTATGACCTTGAATATAAACAAAATATGTGCCTAAAACAACCTTATCCAGAGAAGATAAATTATATCATCTTTCACTTTTTCCTTTAAACATTCGGATCATATAAGATAGACAAAAATACAGATTGAGATCCTTGTTTGGTCTGCTGTTATTATGGACTTTGATATTGAATACTGTTCATTATCTTCATATCCTTCTCGATGTGTATTCAAATTCACATTTCAGCTAATGAAATCCATGTAAACAAAGAGGTCCCAATTCGCGTTCCAAAGTCAATATTTACCCCCATTTGTTAACATGCTTCTTCGATTAAGCTACCGAAGAAGCATTTGATTTCTCAAGTAATTTTATATACTTAATATATACAGTTAACAAAAGATATTTGACATGAGAAAAAATGTACTCTTTAAATCTAATATTATATATGTCTGTCTACATTTAGACACATTTCAGTTAGTTTCAAAATTTTAAATGACAATTTTAAAATATTATAATACTTCAATGAATTGTTTCACACAAAGGAGATTGGGGAACTTAGTGTGTAGAAAACTCACTAGCTTCAGAAATATGTAAATCATATTTTTAATGTTAATTTATTATTTAGAGTAGAGCTCTCAGTGTTGATTTTTATCAAATATCATGTTTAACAAAAATTTCTGAGGAATATTTTCGTTAAAATACATTCTTTTACAAAAAAAAATATTACTATGTATATCCATTGGATTCAAATACAAACAATAAAAATCCTGAGTAGCCTTCTCTGTGAAGTCTAGCACACTTACCACTGCGCTACACAAATCCTGTTGAAGAGTGGCATTTAAATCATGTTTGTGATATGACCATTGACTAAGCGGACTTTAAGTGTTTCTCGGAAAGATAGGAATGTAATGTCGGATAATAATATACATCTTTTAAGGTAAAGTGAGTCTTTACTTCATAAATTTAAAACCTTTGGAAACCAAATTATGTATATCTGCATGGAAACTTTTAGGAATATCTTTCAAAAATTGGAGCAAAGACCAACTCATATAGAAAAATAGTGTTATAGTGTGGAAAAAAGACTCGTTTTGCCCTCACGTTTATTGATTGATTGACTGTATATTGTTTAACGTCCCTCTTGAGAATTTTTCACTCATATGGAGACGTCACCGTATGCTTCAAATTTAGACCTATACTCGGCACTCAGGGCCATTGAGCAGTGAGGGTTCTTTATCGTGCCAGCGCCTACCGTGACATATTCTCGAACACGGTGTGAAACGACATTGAATCAATTATACAAATATTTTCTTAATATTTCATTTAACATTAAAATTTACTTTATGTAAAGTCTCTACAGCTTGCATAAATTTCAGGAAGATTGAAGTAACTAGCTTATAAAATTTTATATAAACGTGAGGGACCGGTCACGGTAGCCTAGTGGTAGAGCGTTCGCTTCGTGATCGGGAGGCCCGAGTTCGATTCTCGTTCGCGGCGCCGCGTCATACCTAAGACGTAAACAAAGGTAGTGACTGTTCCTTCGCCAAGCGCTCGGCACTAGAAGTGAAAGTCACGGGTCTTTCGGATATGACCTTATATAGAGACGTCTCCATACCCCGACACCGATGAAGGATTTCACATTAGTATCTTTTTTATCAAAATTGATAAAAGTAACTTCAAGAGAAATTTAAAACTAACATTAGATATGCGTACAGACTTCGATTAAACAATAAAGCACCCTGCGTGGTGCTGTAGGGATTTTTATTATGTATTGTTATAGAGGGAGCTTAGTCTGGGCCCCATCCCTGGCAGCTGCCCTATCAGTTGTTCAATGTTATAAGTCTGGGAAATAAATGTTAAAAATAAAAACATCTTTTCTTATGGGATGTGGCAATTTCCTCATGTGGAGAACATTCATTATACGAGGGTCATTCAAAAAATACGTGGACAATGTTCCTCATAATCACATTATTTTTACAAAGTTTAATATCAGTACATTTTTATATGTAAAAAGATATATTTTATAGATTTCTGAAATTTCATTCTATTTGATTAAATGGAACTCATGTTAGTCAATTTTAAAAGCAGCATGTTTTGTCACCACGGAGCACGGTCAAAAACATTGTAGCGTCAAAAAAAAGGGTAAAAGAAAATTTCTCAAACTCACAGTGCCTTTTCATTTTATACACGGTTTGTATCGTATTTCCCATTCATTAAAACGTACGAATCAATAACACTTGACACATAGTATGCTAACAATTATTTGAGTATACCTTAAATACAAAGATTGTCAGTGTTTTCAAATCCTTTACCATGTAGCTCTGCTCTCACAGGTTCCGCAACAGTGAAGCGCACATCACGTTTCATGACGTTACTTACTCTTTTGACAAGATTTTGAACTATAATCTGTTTCTTTGCAGAACGCTCATCGCCAAATTTAAAGTCTTTAACCCTCAAAAATTGTCTGTTCCATTATAAACAAATACACGGCTCATTTTATGAATTTTTCCTGGTTTCTCCAGCATTTTCGGAGTTTGTTTTAAAAGTTTCCAAATGCAAAACAAAATTATATTGCTACTCGCTGCTCCGTGACGTCCTTCAACGTCATGATTTTTTTGCTTTTTTGATCAAGACTATCTGTCTATAGAAAAGAATATCTTTAAAAAAACCAATGTCTTACATTAACTTTAAGCTTTTGAAGAAATGAAACAATACCAAATATAAGTATTTAAATTCTATTTCAATTAAAGACAATTTTACAGAGGTATGGCTATATAGATTAGAAAAGTGAATAATCAGTCTGAAACTCAATTTTGACACTGCTCCGTGACCCGGTTTTTACTGTCTTAAATCTTTGATAATTTTGACAAAAATCAAGATATATTCCAATTTCTTTGCTCGAAATATTTGAATCTGTTGTAAAAATATATATACATGTACCAAATTTGGTATAAATATGACGTTGAATAAAAAAGTTATGACAAAAGTCTACGAACTTTTTGAATGACCCTCGTATAATGAATCTCCAACATTATATGCTGATAGTGTGTTATTATATTGATAGTTTGTTATTATATGTTGATACTTTAATATTATGGTATTATTGATGTAAGGAAAATTATACATAAAAATGTGAAAAATTCATTTGAAATTCATGAATATTATTAGTTACAAAATCTTTTAGTAACAGGGTATGGGATGATTCATGGTAGTAAAATTCATACCTGTTGAGTCGGAGAAAAATTGGGCTCTGTATAAGCCGATCTATTTTTGTTTTCAGTTGATGCAGAGAATTTTCAAAATTCATTAGACTATATTACATGTATGCTGACTATGACTAGTTTTAGCATTGTTTTAAAATCCAATTCAGAGTGTCTGTAACTGAATAAGTTTTATATAAAAAATATTTTTGTTGGAGACCAATCCCAAGATAGGAACATTTATTATGCTTCTGTATAATCTGTCCTATTACATAATTACAATGTACAATATTACAATGATGGGACCAGTTCAAACAAAATCCTCATTTTAAAAAAGTACATGTCCCCTGGCTTTGATATAAAAAAAATCTGTAAAATGCCTTGAGACTTGAAAAAAAGTTATTGTCCTATGGTTACATCTTGGTGTTAGTGATATAACTGAAAGAAAACCAAGGGGTCTTTCAGACTTCAGATATTTCAAACATCGAAAAAGAAATATTTTTTTTGGTTTGTTAATTTTCATCTGTGAGACTGTTTAAGAGAAATTCGTCGTCTTTGAAAAACGCCCCGTGGGGATCCGGGTTAGAATAGGTCCTGAGTACCCCTTGCTTGGCGTAAAAGCCGACTAAATGGGGCGGTCCTTCGGATGAGATCGTATAAACCGAGGCCCCGTGCCACAGCAGGTGTGGCACGATAAAGATCCATCCCTACTCAAAGGCGTTAAGTGCCGAGCATAGGTCTAAATTTGCAGCCCTTCACCGGCGATAGTGACGTCTCCATATCAGTGAAATATTCTGGAGAGGGACGTTAAACAGTATATAGTCAATCAATCTTTGAGAAAACAATCAATTCGGAATTCCGTATGTCCGTTCTGGTTTGGTTCTACATTTAGCACTGATTTTTGCTTCCCTTAATGACAGAAAATGTGGTTTGATAGCCGCAGTAAAGGCAGTTGGTGTTTTATTAAAAGAAGACTACTGAGTTTTACAGTTTGGGACCATGAATGTAAGTAGAAAATAGGTGATTTTATGTATGAAGTTAATGACAAAGACTAATTGGTTGATTTTGCGGTCAGCCTTCGAATCACATGTACAGACTGCGACAATGACAGACTCAGTTCGTGATTCTATTGGCTGACCTTTTCATTGTATTTTACACGCATTCTCAATTTATCGTCTCAATTCGCTTTAAATAATGTACTGCGTTTTAAGTCATATAATATTTCAAATAAATTTTATTTTCTGCCAGTCTTACCAACCTTTGTTGGTTGTTGATTAAAATACAACAATTGTTTGTTGTAGCTTAAATGATTATCTTAGGAGAAAATCACATTTTATAGCAGAAATGGATATTTACGTTACTGTCGCCGATCATCGTATAGTTTTTATTTTAAACCAAAAAGAATTTTTAAATCATTAACATATCTTTTTCTTAGTAAGATTGTCCTACATTTGAGTTATATTTTCTGAATATCACACCCTTCACACATATGCGTGTCACAGATTTTTAAAAATGTTAATATATTTATCAAATTTTGATGTCACCGCAAAATTATTACTTTTCTATTTCGAAATTCAAAAGGACTGGAAGGAATGATGAACTAACTCAATAGGACTAAGTTGTAACTTTTTAACATCATGAGCACCCTTTCTATTGCATGGAAAGGTAAAAAAGACACTGTTTATCTGTGTTTATGAACAATAGCCCCCCTTTTCTTATAAGTCCAATGGTTAAAAAATTCAATGATATTTACGTGTTAGTATTTATTCACAAATTAAGTAAGAGAACTACACCGTCTCCTATGGGCCAAATTGCCTTACACTCAAGCACTAGAATATGCCTTTAATTAACTGTGGAATAATTGAACAATGGCATTAAAAGTTACGATAAATCTCAGAAAGATATTTACGTTACCGATATTTACGTTACCGATATTTACGTTACCATGTTTTAAAGTAAATAAGTATTAATTTCTAAAGCTGTTTGAACAGATTTGCGAGTGAATCTTTATGATGTAAATACTTAGAACATGAAGAAATATACACTGTTTCTTAAAATGTCATTTTTCCTGTAACAAGAGTGAAGAAATGCAAACGTAAGTGCACATGCAAAGGTGAACATTTTTACTCAATATCTTGTGCATCCGTGTGATTTTAAAATTGAATTGACATAATATTATTCACAAGTAGAATCGTGGTTTAATGACTGAATCTTTCCATTTTGAGCAATTGGTTAATATTGCATAGTTTCAAGTGTAATGCACGTTATCATTCGGAACGCAAATCTGAAACAAAACTCTCTTCGATTCTGTATTTTGCTGTTTGTTTGAACTGATAGTGATCGTCAACTGTAAAAAATGGTTATATACACTTGAATTGTATACCAAGCTAAATATTTTGAAGAAAAAATATCATTTTTGTAGGAAATATAATTCCAGAAAATGGGCGCTGCGTTGCATGCAGTGTGTGTGTGTGTGTGTGGGGGGGGGGGGGTTACATCGGGTAAAAAAGGAAGTCGGCTGTGGGTGTTGTGTGTCAAGATACTGAATGAAATTGAATCCATTTCCATTTTTGTTGCTTTGCAAGAAATACATTTATTAACATGTATAAAAGAAGAAGGTATGGTTTTAGCTTTATTGTGCCCTAAAAATGAAATGACATCAAAAAGTTTTGAATCTGGCTTAAATATTAGTTGAATAAATGACTCTGATAAATCAGGAAAGAATATGGCATGAAGGCTTACCATTCTGCATATATGACGTCATTAATGTGAAGAACTACTCTATTTTCAACAGAAAAAGCCTCAAAATGTCACATTTCAAGGGTGATTTTCCTTTAGAAAACAGTGTCCACAGCCGTCGCCCACGTTAATTTTTTTTATATTTTGTGCAAATTCAATAACAAATCACATATTTCAAGATCTTAGTGGGCGATGCCTGTGGACAATGTTATCTGAAAGAAAATTCCATTGAAAATTGGTGTCTTCTGTAACTTTTTAAGAAAATACGGGAAAATGCATATGTTTATGACGTCATAATTAGCATTTAGAAACACAGGTGAGAAAAATGACTTGTATGATTTTTCTGCATTGAATTTCAATTATTTAAAATGCATGAGTTTTCAACTTTTACACCAGTTTCATTTTTTAGAAAATCACAGGGCAAAATTTGTATTGAAACCATACCTTCTTCTTTGCACCTAAATTTTCCCATTTGCATTGTTGCATAGACATATGACTTAGGAGGTATGCGTCTATGCTTTAATGGTACTGAAAATTCAATTTACGTTATATGAACGTAGAATGTATATTGCTCTATAGAGCACATGTGATGTGCAACTGTAATTATTGACAAACTTTTTAAGGGTGGTGGGCAGTCTTTGTTTTATTTTTGAGATTTGACGATAAAGTTTTTCACAAACAATTAAGCATTTCTGGTATGTAGCAACAAGGGGGGGGGGGGGCAGTCCAACCTTGCCCCCCTTTTTTCTTCAGCCTTACTTCAACTTCAGTAAATGTTCAGTGAAAGGCTGGTTGCCCCCACCCCCACTAATAGTGATGTAGGGAAAATATATTGTAATAATTGGTACTGAATGTAGTTGGCACTGAAAAAAGTTCGCCTCCCCCCTCTAGGATTTTCGACTTCGAGCAAGTTTTCTCACCCTGATCCCCTTTTTTTGCCTTGTCAACTTTCCAGGTAAGTAAAAAAATTCTCTGGCTACCCCCCCCCCCCCCACACACACACAAACACTTTCAAAAACGATGCTATGTGAATGGCTGCATTTGAAATAATCAACAGATTAAATGGTGGAGGGGGGGTTGTTATGAATTACATGAGTCTATAGATAAATCATTTATAAATTGAATTTTCAATTCAACCCTTTGTAAGAACACAGATTAGAAAATTCATAAAATTCAATAATTTGAAATAATATAATCATTTTTCCCCCGAATATACTTTTATTTTTGTATGATATCTATGTGCGATATTTACGTGATATTTAACAAACACTTCGTAATCAGGTAATGGCGAAATATTCAACCTTTTTATATTCTAAATAATGTGCGTTTCTCTGAGCAGATTAATAAAGAATCAATTAATGTAGCATTTTAGGGAATATTATCATTATTAAGCTTATCATCGAATGTGCTGAAACTTGTTAAAATAAAAAGAAAATAATTTCATTTAAATGAAAATTATGTCCGTTTTATTTTTACTAATAATTCAATCAAAGATTGTACAACCCTTTTACAAATATGCTTAAACGTTTCATAAATGTTTATAGTTAACAAAATTTGATGTGTATTATATTAATTTTGTATTTAAAAAAAAAAAGTCTTTCGTTTCCAAATATGGCTTTTCAACATCACGTAAATATCTTGGTGTAAAATTAGCCCTCCAACCGCTTTTTTTTTGAAGGAGGCCAACAAAACAATGCATGAAGTATGTAAATCAAATTGCTATTTTTAATAACTATACACTTTCATGTTTCAAATGACGTATAAAAGTGTTAATTTCAGTTCACTTATTTTTATGACTTTTCCCAAGATCGATTTGTGACTATAAATTGAGAATGCGTGTTTAGTGAGAATCGCAAAACTTTTTTACTGAGTCGAAAGTGTGTCAAAAAGATTTATACACAGTGAGAAGTATGATTTAAATCTTATGTTTCATATTTAAAATATTTGTAAAAATCGGAAGGAACTGTAATGAGTAAGATAATTGATTTCTTTATATTTCATTTTCCTACAAATAGCTAGAAAATTTGGGAAAGATAATACTGGTCATAACCATTTGAGCAGGTAGAAGCTTATTGAAGATCGGGACTTTCAAGTGATGGAGAGTAAGGGAAGTGGTTGGGGTATTCCAAGACGTGAAGAACCCTATCTTTTGTGTAGAATTCAAGGTATTAATTTAAAGATTTAAAGATATCAACAATGGTCCAAATATTAGTATTGACACTTTCAAAACTAAATGCTAGGTTAACTAGAACACAGTGAAAATACGGCATTATTCAATTTGAGATTATTTCAACATCAACAGTTTTAAATATTGTCATCAATTGTAGTTTTAATTTTAATTGAAGATATTGATCAACTACCTGTATTCCAACAAGCATTTGCCTCCAGGATACCATGGAAATGTGGCTATAAATCAAAAGGACAACTGATGCCTAGTTAAAAGCCACTTTCCTGAACATTCAGTCTTAGACTACATTGTTTGCTAACAAAAGGACTCAAACTGAGTTACATACTAAGGAAAAACTCTGCTAAGGAAATTAATCTTAGGTGTCATATTAAATACTATTATTTCTTAATTGTAGTATTTCAAATGTACTGAATAGGTTAATTTGAGTAAATTCACAATTGTTTGAAATTTTTGTTTGTTTATTTTTTTCCTCCCCCACTCGTAGGTTTTGAACGTTTCTTTCAAACCATACAAAACAAAGTACATCAATGTAATGAAATGCTTGTCCACTTTTAAATATCATTGACAAGTGCTTTTTAAACAAGCCCTCCATTGGAGAATAGTTCCTGTCGCAGGTTTAATAAAAGAGATATCTCACTCACAGCCAGTGGAGAAGTGTATAATATTTCTCTCAGGTTTTTTAAAGAAGCACATATCAATGATATTCAAAAGTATAATTTTCACATTAAATAAAATGCAGTGTTACTGACTTCAAAAAATTGAGATAAGAAAGATCAGTTAATCATTAAAGCGTGTTTAAAATGTCAGATTTGGAGTATGATATGAGTAGTAAAAATACTTGGAATGTAAGACGAAGAAGTGCACCAGCAGTAATAACTTTTCATAAATACATAATTTTCCGTGACGCGTTTAGAAACACCTGTGTTTCACGGTTGGGTGCTCCTAAACTCGACCTGATGTTATTGATCTTCATTAGTGAAAATTCTTTTAAGTTGCTTTACAGAATTTTTCTAATAATTTTTTCATTGCATTCATGAATTACACTTACAATATAGCTGAAATGAATAATATCCTTTATATCCACCACATAATGAGATAAATATGCTGCTTATATAGAAATGACTTAAATTCGACATACATTTACCTGTTTACTGACACAGGATCAGTTAATCAATGGTAATAACCTTTCATAGACAAGTTGTTCTCATACTATAAAATAAATATTGCTGGTTTACAGATTTAAATCTGGCGAAACATATAGTGGTAATTAACATGAGAAAGATTTTACCTTTCAACAAAATGGTGTCCGCCGTGCTATCAACTTCTATATCTGGCTGACAATAAAATATTGAAACGAAAGTAGATGAAACGTTTTCTATTTGACTGAAGAACTTAAAAATAAATGAAATACTTCTTTATTCAGTACTATGCAGTTTTTCAATCTAATACTTTACAAGGGCATCGGTTAATTTGTTCGATTGACACGATTTCCCTTGCGGGCCCCAGCCTCTGCACTGTTATATAACTATACATATTCATAAAGTGGGGGATCTTAAAATGAGCAATGAGACAATTAACACTAAGCATGTTTCAAAATTGAAATTGAAGAAGTTTATTAATGCATTGTATGTATTCAAAGTACATGGAGACGCAGAAATAATGTAAATATTTTTTATAATCAATTTTCACTTATTTTGAAAATCAGGTGGAATATCTTATGACTAAAGGAGCCCCTTTTGCTAACACCAAAATAATGTCTACTAGGTTGTCTAATGACAAAAATTACTGTACACAGTAATGAAATCATTGAATATACCATTGATTCAGGGTACGAGAAATAAGCAATATGTAATAAATCCTGTTTTTAACATTTTTATACCGGATAACCCCGACTAAACAAAAAAAATTAAAGTATTTTCTCCATGAATTTCAAATTCAAAAACAATTTTCTCTCAATTCTTACATTTTTATTATCAAAGGAAAACGTCTTAATATTCGCATATTATTTTTGAAATCCTTAAAATGAATCATTCTTTTGCAAATTGATTGATTGATTGATTGTATACTGTTTAACGTCCCTCTCCAGAATATTTCACTGATATGAAGACGTCACCATTGCCGGTGATGGGCTGCAAATTTGGGCCTATGCTCGGCACTTACGGCCTTTGAGCAGGGAGGGATCTTTATCGTGCCAAACCTGCTGTGACACGGGGCCTCGATTTATACGCTCTCATCCGAAGGAACGCCCCATTTAGTCGCCTTTTACGACAAGCAAGGGGGTACTGAGGACCTATTCTAACCCGGATCCCCACGGGGTTTTTGCAAATTGAAGAAATATTATATCTCAGAATCACAGTTTAATTTCTTAGAAGATTTTCAAGATACGAACAGTATTTAATATCAATAAACAATATACGTAAAATAGTTAGCAGAGCAAACACGGACCTCCAAAACAACAGAGGTGGGATCAGATGCCATGGAAGAGTGCGCATATGTAAGCATGAGTAAAATTTAGACTTCAATCTATAATTTTTACACTTTAATCTGTTTTTACACTTTAATCTGTAAAAATTTCGACATTAATCTGAACAACCTGAACTGTAAAAATATGTATAGCGAAGATTGTTTTCCTTATATGTTGTTCAGATTAATATTGCATGCTTATGTAATGTTAATCTTTATCTTCACCTTCTAAGAAGAGTGATCTGTGAAAGTCTTCAATTTCAGGGTACTCTTCACAGCACATAACCGGCGTCTCTTGTCTCTTTCTCTTCATCTCCTTTATATCTTCTTTTGAGTGAAAATTAGGAGAATCGCCAAATTGTTTTTCGCTCAAAATTTGATCCACATCACCAGGACGATAATCCTCAACACTGAAATCAGAAGAACAAGGAAAGATTTGCATTTCATATAATTTATGACACTCTATTGTATTCAAAAATACAATCCGTTGATTAGCCCCCAATTTGTGCATTAAATAAATATTGATATTGCTCAGTATTTTGATACGCCTTTCTATCAATTTTTTTTCTATATCTGAATCATTTCTTTGTCTTCTGTTCTTCTTTGCAAAGATCCCGTATTTTCTCTTCTTTTACCATTTTAGCTTTCCCTATTATCTTCTCTGTATGAACTTTAATTTGCCTTTGAATTTCATCTATTCTTTTAGATAGATCTGATTCTTTTGCTTCTTCCTTTGACAGAAAATCATGGTATTGTGGTAGTAGTGTAGCCTCTATTTCGTTTTTATCTCTCTGAAATCTTGCTCTCATTTAATCATACACTTTTCCACGCCCTTGTGTCCTTTATGGTTTTCTATACAACATTTTGAACATACTGGTGTCTGACAGGGTGAACAAAAATTTTTTAGCATTCTGGTTTAATGGTCAGATCAGTAAAGTGTTTCCGTCAATTCTTTTATCTCGTGAAATTTTGTGTGTTTTCTCTTCTCTTGCTTTGCAGTGCAAGTCTTGCTCAGATGCCAAACGCATATCTTGCATAAAAATTGTGCTTGACTTTCTTCGCAATCGTCACACTCAATAAAATGCTGAGCAGAGTGACTGTATAGTTTCATTGTTTTACTTCTGCCCTCCCAGGTATTAAACGTCTGTAAGATACATGTAAATAAATTATTTTTTAAGACTTATGCACTTAGACTTTGTTCTAATAGTGATTTAATTAAAAACAATTGGAAAGTTTTAAAATAGCTTTTTTTACATGTCGAACTATAGCCTTGGAATGCTTGTGACAGGGCCTTTCGATTTTTATATCCAAACTTGGAATCTGCTTTAAAAACCATAATAGTAATCACTATCTGCTTTTTAACGATATTGATTTAATCTTTAGTATGACGGATATATATCGTAAAACTTCTCCGTTGTCAGGAAGTGCTCGTACCGCCAAATTATTACTAAGGTTTGTCATTTGCTATCACAAAGAATATGATCGTGTTTTGCCTTTTTCTCCCTCAACTAATAAAATACATGAATTAATACATGTTGTCGCAGTAAAGTTATTTAGATGATTAGGAATTCTCAAAAGAAAAAGAAAGAAACCTCCGTTAGCCTCTTTTACGATATTTTATACTTTCGTCTTAAGATATGTCTTTGTCCTAAGATAGCTTCATAAACTCGCTTGCAGGTTCCTTAGTCCTTATTTATTTTCAGAAAAGTTGAAAATCTTTGTCTTTTATGTTTAAAATATTTTGGGTTTGAAATTAAAATATTAAATAAACAAAAAATTGAACACCTCAGTTCTGGAATATGGACATTAATTTGGCTATATACATCGTTTTTAGCTAACCTGAGCCAAAGGCTCAAGTGAGCTTTTCTGATCAATTTTTGTCCGTTGTCTGTCGTCTTTGTTGACGTCGTCGTTGTCGTCGTTGTTGTTAACTTTTCACATTTACATCTTATTCTCAAGAACCACTGGGCCAATTTCAACCAAACTTGCTAAAAAGTATCCCTGGGTAAATGGATTCAAGTTCCTTCAAATGAAGGGCCACGCCCTTTTCGTGGCCCTTTTCCAAGGGGAGATAATTATGAATTTGGGAAAAATTAATGGCATTTTTAAAAAATCTTCTTCTTTGAACCACTGGGCCAGGAAAGATGAAACTCATGTGGAATCATCCTCAGGTAATGTAGATTCACGTTTGTTCAAATCCTTACCCCCAGGGTAGGGTGGGGCCAAATTGGCCGACCAAAAATTCTCATAGGAATATATAGAGAAACCTTTTAAATTCTTTTTTTTCAAGTACTCCAAAGAAATAATTTGTAATATTTATGTAGAATTATCCTCAGGTAGTATAGATTCTAGTTTGTCCAAATCATAAAATGTGCTTTTTCATAGTTAATGTGCTCAGGTGAGCGCTATGGCCCTTGGGCCTCTTGTTTTTAATTTGTACCTGAGATTGCAGTTACATATATAAATTTCGGTCAACATTTTTTACTCTCTTTAGAATAAAGTTACTCATATAAAACACAATATTTTTAAAAGTATGTTCTTTTGACAATTTGATCCATCCAAAAATGATATCCATTTTCGTTTTCTTTATTTTTAAAATTGTACTATTTCTTATTGAATCACTTAAATAGTATTTCTTTATTAGAATTCCCAAATCATAAAAGGTAGATATGGAAGTGTCAAATAGTAGCTAATCTCATTATTTCTATATCTGTTCATTGAAACATAATAATCATCTTTAGCACCAATAAATAAATCTGTCATCGGATGGTAATCTTCGTAACGATAACGTCTCCTTCCTGCTCTCTTGCCTCGAATTTCTTTTAATTATGATAAAGAAAAATGTGGAAAATCTCCAAATCTTCCTCCGTCTGCGATTCTTTTTATATCACCAGCTTGAAAGTCCTCAATTTTGTACTCAATATTTCTTTGACATTTTTTAAGTTCATTTAATGTTGTGCGATCCACAGGTATAAAAAATTTAATCCCTTGTCCTTCTTAAAAGTTGCTTGTTTTTTGCGTCTGCATTCTTATTAGCTGCTGAATTCTTTTTTCTATGAAATCTTTTGAATCCTGAATTTATTGATTTCAACACCTTTTCTTCCTCTTTTCGTAAATTGCGTACCTTTCTTCTTGGAACATTAAAAATCTTGTTTTTAACTTTTCTGTGTGATCCTCAATTTGCTTCCGACCTTGGTCTGCTCTCTTTGATACATCTGAAGTCTTGGCTTCTTCCTTCGACAACAAATCCCGATATTTTGGCATAAGTACTGTTTCTATTTCCTCCTTCTCCATTTGAAGATCTCTCCTAATCTTCTCGTACGTTTCTTCCAGATTCTCTACTTTATGACCATTATGTGTTTCAATTAGACACTGGGTGCATATAGGCTTTTGGCAGGAAGAGCAATAACATTCTAGCTTTTTTGTGATGTGGAGAAAACAATGTGGACGTTCTGTTGTATATTCCTTATCTGAAGTCAGTTCTGTTTTTTCGTGATGTCTGGTGAATTTCCTCATCTCGTGGTCTGTCTTGCACATTTCACACATATGACCAGAACAAGTTTTGCACAAAAATTTTGACGGATTTTCTTCACAGTGTTCACACTCAATAAAGTGTTGAGCAGAACTTGTAGTTGTAGCCATTGGTAGGGATTTATCTGTAATCGTAAATATTTATTTAGATATACAGTAATTTACTGATCGTTTTTAAGATAGAACCTATGTCGGGAAAGTCTTTGTCACAAGATTTTCAAACTTTTCAAAATGATAAATTAGTACTTGCTTATCAAGCAGTTAAAAGCAAATGATATGTTTCCTTGTTTTTAAATCTAGTACAGCCTGTGAAACTTGGTATGGTAAATACATACTGCGACTACACATTTTCAGTTATTTTTAGGGGTACTTGTCAAGACGAGATCAAATCCTAGGGAGCACAGTTACTGAAATATGTAGCCAAAATTAATGTGATTCTAATGGAATATATACTATTGAAATTCGTCGCAGCTCATTGCTGGCAAGAATACCTGTATCAAATAACACAGAGTGAGTTATTCTTGCTCTCGGAGAAAGTGTGCTTATACTGAGGTTTGTTCAGCCTGACTGACAACTGTGCATTTGATTGTTACGATTTGACATCTCTTTAGTTTTTCATGTATAAAGAATGGGCATACATAAGGGATAGATAATTGAAGGAAAATGCACAAGTCTATTAAAAAACATTAAAATATCTTTGAAAAGGCGAAATTAAAAACTTTTAAAGTATGGTGGATTCGAACCCGCAACTTTAAAAAGAAACATTTCACAATGCAAAACCAATTCATATATCAACTGAGCTAGTCGGTCTATAAAAACATTTGGCATAAATTTGAAGCAACTTTTCGAAATCATGTTTTCTTTCCTTATTTTTGAAATTTTTTTTGTGAATTTCGACCCTAGGGCAGGGGTGCCCCTAAAACATTCTATCTTAAATCATTCCTTACATCATAACTTATTAAACTAGAGGTACTGTGAGCAATGAGCTCACTAAATGATACCCCCCGCCTCCCATAATGTCCATGTGTTGCTATATATTGTTTTACGGTTATGTGTAAAGAGGAATAACTCGTCCTATCAAATGTTATCCAAAAGCTTATATATGTGACGTCATAGGTAAACATATAATGGCAATATCCATGTTTTGCTATGGAAAACCTAAACTAAAATATGTGTCAAATAAAAAAGTAAAATAGGAGGTGCACAATGGCTACATGTAATAAAGATTCTGTGGAAGTTTCATTAAATTTCACTCAGTATTATAAAGCGTAACAGACGGACGGACGGACGGACGGAAATCCCGATTACTCTATACCCTCTCACTTTTCAAGGGGTGGTATAAATATCACAATTTTATTTAGGGGCAGACCTGCCCTGAAGGATATCTCGGCCAAAATTCATGCAAAATTCAATGCTTTAGCAGACAAAATGGTATTTCAGCCAATTTTGGAGGTTTATTGTAAATTTGTTAATAATAAATTTTTGGTATAAAATACAAATTTGAAAAATTTAGACATATATACGGTATAAAATAACAAATAAAGATTAATATTTAAATGTCACTTTTTCAGGGAAATTGTTCTCTCCTATAGGTCAATTCTTTTGTCAAAACGAATACATCATTGGTACTTTTTATTTAAAAATTTCATATTTGATAGAAAAACTGTAATGAAACACAAGAAGATGGATAAGTAACAAATAATTATGAAAAGGAATGCACACCATATTCATGATAGATATATGATATAACAAAAATGTACAAACGATCGCATGATCTACAACACATAAATCTTTGACTTAGACATATTTCATCACTATATTAAAATATTTAGTTGACTACACTGAAGATCTCTTAGGATTTTTGCATTCCTTCAAAATTGCTACATATAGTATACCATACATTTTATTTCAGTAAGTTGTATTGATTGTAATTTCATTACACAAGATAAGTCTTGGATTTGTCAACTTAATTAAGGTCAAGATCTAGTAAATAAATGGTGCCTACAGGTTTCTCTAATTCCAGATTAAAGCATTATAACCAAAAAATATATAAATTGAATTAAGATTATTTCGACACGATTTTGAATTGAATTCTGTGATTTCAAAATGCAGTGTTTTTTACCATTTCTATACTGAAGCTGTAAGTACGAAAAAAAAGTGACATTGAATTAATGGACCTAGCACAGGCTAAACACATTCACTAGTTATGATGTCATACGACGTAGGTTCTACGTTAAAGCAATATAAGATGCATTTTTAAATATTTTATTTTGCTGGTAAAATGTGTTAACTTGATTATTCTTTATGTAACTGAAGAACAGATGACACAAACAAACTTTTGTCAAAAGATATGAAATTAACCACCTGAGTCATATTTTAATGAGTAGAATGAATAACGTTCACCTCGTAGTTTCTAATTTTTTATTCAAATTTTCACAAAAATGAGATTTGAAGTGAAAAATATTTCTATAGATTAAAAAGGATGGTTTCAGAGGGGCAGAATTTTGAACATCACAGAAGGTTAACAATTTTTTTATGTTCTAGAAATTTATTATTTGCATCATTTTCAACGAAAATAGGCCAAAAAATATATACCAATCCAGGCATCCATTTTTTTGTTTGTATCATCTGCCCTTAAACCTTCATGAACAATTAGAATAAAACAAAGCCGAAGAAAGACTGCTAAATTTAATCTAAAATATCATTTTACTTTTTATAAAAAAAATCATTATTGTACAGGAAGACAATAATGTAATTTGAACTCAATCAAAGCTTATAAATAGTTCTTCCAAATATGAGCAACAGATGTTTATTAACGTAATTTTTTCTTTCGTTGAAAAAGCTATTTACAATTTTGCAACAACAAAAATCTTACATCATAGTTGCAGCTCATATTGCATGGGCGTCGGAAATTCATTGAAAGTTGGGGGGGGGGTGTAGTTGAAATTGGGAGGCTAAGCCCCCAAAAAAGGTAAACCGCAATTTTCAAGGCCTATAGTATATATATTTGAAAGAAATATTTGGAGGGAGGCGAGCCCAATCTGTGAAAGTATCATGACATTTTTGTCAGTTGCACATTAGGAGTTGCGGAGAAGAGATGGGTATACTTTAATATTATAGAAAGAAAGTGCAAATGATTTGCTCTAGGTAACACAAAATATGTGTCGGATCAAAAAGTAAAATAGAAGGTGCAAAATGGCACTATTTAACAAAGATTCTGTGAAAGTGTCATTTAAGTTCATTCAACGGTATACGAGGAGTTACCTATAAGAGATGGATACCCACGGACAGACATACCGATCAATATATACATATGTAATCTCCTGCTTTTCAAGTTAAAAAATAATTTATTTTAAAAAAAAATAATAATTTAGAAGCAAATGTTCACAAACAACAGAAAATAAAAATTTAACAAAGATTAGACGGGGTCACGTGACCCCGTCTATTAGTTTACTGCCAGAGCCCTCAAAAAGGAAGCCGTGGTGATAACACATAAATTAAATCTACGCTATATGAAAGAGTGCAGAAATAGTTTTGATCAAAATATAACCATTCTGTATCAGACTGAAGAAAGTGATCTGAACTTTTTTTCTAAATCAAATTAATAAAGCATCTTTGAATGTAAACTCGAAATATTAATTGTAAAAAACACTAGTAAACAAAGTACTCTTCTGTGTAGTAGTACGACTGCTTACGCATCATCCATTGTTTACTTCCAAAACAATATTAATTCGGACCAGGTGAAATTTGGACAATTCAAAAAGGTTTCTAGACTTAGCAATTATTGAAATTTCTACTTCAAATTAAATGAAAAACGCGAATTTATATTATTCACAGGTTTGTTTTTAGTTTGTTAATTAAAAAGAATTATCAAAACTCGTTAAAAAAAATCATATTTGTGAAATCTAAAATGAAAATTATAATTTTGACCCCGTCTTTCAGTACTGTCTCAGTACTTTGATTAGCTCTACTGGTCAGAGATTAAAAGAGCTTTCGCGATAGCAATGCGTCCGTCGTCCGTCCGTCCGTCTAGCTGTCTGTTCGTCTGTTTGTCTGTTTGTCTGTAAAGTTTTGGTCTGATTTCAATATTACTTAGCACATAAGAAGACTACACAAAGACACAAAATTCTGTGTATCGGTTTTTGATTTCGATGAACGGTGTTGCCGTGGTTACTAGAAATAGAATTTTCTGTAAAGTACTTTTAAAATGCTAGTCCTCCTACGGTTTTGGTCTGATTTCAATATAACTTGGCATACAAATAGATTACATTAGGATACATTACTCTGTGTATGGGTTTTTGTATTTGATGAACAGTGTTGCCGTGCATGGTTACTAGTTTCTGTGAGATTCTCTTAAAATGCTACTCCTCCTACAAATTTGGTTTGATTTCAATCAAACTTGGCACACAAGTATACTACACTAAATACATAATTCTAGATCTGTGTTTCGGTTTTTGATTTTGATGAACGGTGTTGCCGTGGTTACTAAAATAGAAATTTCTGTGAAAAACGTCTAAAATGCTACTTCTCCTACAGTTTTGCTTTGATTTTTATATAACTTGACAAACAAGTTGACTATACTAAGATACATCATTCTGTTTATTGGTTTTTGATTTTGATGAACGGTGTTGCCATGGTCACTAAAAATAGAAATTTCTTGGAGATTCTTTTAAATTGCTGGTCCTCCTACGGTTTTGGTCTAATTTCAATTAAAATTGGCAACAAGTAGTAGGCCTTTATGAAGAAGAAAATATAGTGTCATGTTTTGTGCACTTTTGCGTTTTCTATATGAATATATATATATATATATATATATATATATATATATATATATATATATATATATATATATATATATATATATATATATATATATATATATATATATATATATATATATATATATATATATATATATATATATATATATATATATATATATATATATATATATATATATATATATATATATATATATATATATATATATATATATATATATATATATATATATATATATATATATATATATATATATATATATATATATATATATATATATATATATATATATATATATATATATATATACTTTTACGAGTAAATGCAAG